GGAAGAATATGGTGGGTATCCCCAAGATATTTCTTTCCTGGACGAAACAGAGGAGTGGAGGACCTCAAGGGAACGTCTTCACCAAGAGGATCATCTACACCCCAGGAACCCAGTTCCTGGGAGGAGTGAACCAGGACCTAGTGCTAGGATTTTGACCACCCAAGAGAGAGAGAGAGAACCATGACTCACGGTGCAACAGCGCGAGGGAACTCACCAAGGGAGAACCAAGGAAATCAACCAGTGGTGGGCAAGTAATGGGAGCTCACTGGGCTTGAGGAGGTTCCCTGTGAGTGAGAGTGGCAATGGCGGCACTAGTCTGGGGTCAGGGGTCCTGGTAAAGCAGCTCAGATCCCAGTAAGTTTATCGAGGCTTAAGGAAGGCTGCTCCCACCTACGTGGCTTTGGCAGGCCAGTATAATCCCCCAGCCAGGCACCCCTATATAGGGGATGTCTGCCTTGTGGCCAAAGTAGGCTTGGGAGCGCAGCGTATATCAGGAGGGCCTGAATTTACTGATTGGGAGAGCAAGATCGATGCCAGAAGCTCACCTGGTCCCGGGTTTCGGCATCAAAATGTTAGGAAAATGCCACACACTGCACACAAAGGAGGCTCATGAGAGGTATCTCATGTCCAAAAGTTTAATAAGCAGGCTGGCTGGCCCTAGAAAAAATGGCACAGCAGTTTCTCTTGGCAGGTCTGGCCTTAAGTAGCATTTGGGAGAAAGCAAGGGCTAGGAACAGACAAAGAGAGGTGGCAGGAGATAAGGGACAGTGGGCTTTGTTCTGCAAGGAATGAGACCAGCTGTGGCTAAGACTGCAAGGGGCAGTTCTTATCAGGGATTATTACTGAGTCTGGGGTGAAATGGGGCTAATGGATTTGTCCATGGCTCTTGGTCTTCACTGGACAACATTGGTACTCCTTGTCCCCAGAGTGCAGCACAAGACCGGGTTGGGCTGCTCAGTGCCTAGGGCTTATTGAATGGCATGGCAGTCTGTCTGCTCTTCAGGCAGAACTGGCCCCAGTTGTACTTTTTAGTACAAACTAAAAAGTAAGGCCTGGGGGAAGGCAGAAACTTGCAGAGCACTGGTGGCTCACACCTGTAATTCTAGCTACTCAGGAGGCAGAGATCAGGAGGATCTCTTTGAAGTCAGCCTGGGCAAATAGTTCCACAAGACCCTATCTGGAAAAAACCCTTCACAAATAGGGCTGGTGGAGTGGCCCAAGGTGAAAGCCCTGAGTTCAAGCACCAGTACTGAGAAAAAAATTGCTGAGGTCACCAAGATGGTCTGGGACAGGCCTTGGAGGACTAGAACCCCTAGCAAGGTGGAATGAATCCTTCTTGGGGCCAGGGAACAGTCACCTAGCTGGAAAACCACCACCTACTGTCCTGCTTCTGTGTCAACTGTCAAAGCATGGGCTGGAGGAGGTAGGGAGGACCTGAGGACCACCCACTGCCAGTCTGGGGGAAGCCTAGGCTAGGAAGGGTGGGGCCACTCTAAGATCCCAGGGATCCCAAGCATGCACTCTCTCAGGAGAGGGACAAAGGGAGAGGCAGAGGCAGAGACACCAGCTCAGAGGGACTGAGATCATCCAGCAAAGTTGGGACAGGAAGGAGAAATCTGCAACCACCCAGCAAACAGCTGCCAGTCCCAGCTCTCACCTGGCAGGAAGCCTTTGAGGACAGGAAGAAGAAACAGGCTGAATGTGCACATCCCTGAGCTGTGTCCTACCACCCCACCCCTGCACCCACCTTCCAGTCACTGCCCTCACTGACTGTGCCCTGCCTACCGTACAGCGCCTTTAAGCCAAGGTGATCTTCTGTTCCTGAGTCCTTGCCCATACTCTCTGCCTGGAATGTTGTCCACTCCTGTCCCTCCAACATCTGCTCACTTTTTACTTCTCATCTAAGGCTTCTCTGAGAGGCTTCCCAGGCCACCTGAAGCCAATCAGCTGCCATCTGCTCTGGTGTCCCCAGCCTGGTGCCTCCTTCCACCAGTCATAGTACATGTCACACCAGCAGTCAGTCTGAGGCTGTGTTGGCCTCCTGTGCCAGAAGGAGCCTCTAGAAAGCAAAGCTGGGTCTGAATTCACCTGCCTACCTGCCTTCCTTTCTTCCCTCCTTCCTTCTTCCTTCCTTCCTTATTTCCTTCCTTCCCTCCCTCCCTCCCTCCTTATTTCCTTCCTACCTTTCTTCCCTTCCTCCCCCTTCCTCCCTCCTCACTCCTCCCTCCCTCCTTCCTTCCTTCCTTCCTTTTTTCCTTCCTTTCCTCTTTCCTTCCTTCCCTCCCTCCCTCCTTATTTCCTTCCTACCTTTCTTCCCTCCCTCCCTCTTTCCTTCCTTCCTTCCTTCCCTCCTCTCTCCTCCTCTTTCCTTCCCTTCCCTTCATCAAGTACTGACTAAACACCTCCTATGTCCCAGACACTATTCCAAGTACAGGGCATAGAGCAGAGAACAACATAAACTCCTTGCTGTATGACTCATTCTGTTGGGGGAGGTGGAAAGGCAGGTGACAGTGAAAATGTAAGTTTAAGTGGTGGTGTGCTAGAAAGAAAGTAAAAGGGCACAATTGAACTGGGGGCTGCAGATAGAGCTGAGTTTCAGACAGGTACCAGGTACTGTGGGCTGCGGAGTCCCATACCTTGTCCATACCTTCCCCTTAGAGGCTGCCAGGCACTGAGGGGAGGGAGGCCGTGGGAAGGAAGCTTGGGTCCACGAGAAGTGCCAGACGTCTCTCCCACCCACACACACACTTCCTGGCTCTCCAGGAATTCGATTCAGCAACAGTTCTGAGCAGTAACTTGTGAAAGTCACAATAGCTGCCATTTATTGAGGGCCTTGAGAGTGAGGGGCAGAGAAGGGCTCCCCATTGCACAAAGCCCCCATGATTAGCCTCCCTGAAGGAGGTCCCAAGAACCACACCCAGTCCAGCTGGTATTGGAACTCGGACCTCGTGACTCATCCCAATGCTTTCCCTTTCCAAGCCCTGAGCAGGCCCATTGATGGAACGAGCCAGGGAAAGAGTAAGAGTAGTGAGGTGCTAATCCCAACCCAGGTTTGCTGAGTAGGGGTCCCTCAGCAACTCCCATCCTCAGTTTCTCTCACGGGAGAAGGAGGAGCCCAGCTGAGACAGCTGCTGTGAGCATCAGGTGAAATTAAGAGAACACACAGCAGTCAGCCCCTCCACCCTGCCCCTGCCCTTTACCTCTGAGCTTTGCTCCCTACCCCACCACCCCTCTCAGTGCTCTGTGCCCTGTGCCAAGCCAGTCAGTCATTCATGGCAGCTTTGCCCTGATTTTGGCAAAGGTACCTGTGCACCCTGTTACCCTCCCAGCCTGGCAAAAAGCCAGGTCCAAGATCAGGGCTGGGCTGGAACAGGGTTACATATCTGGGGAAAGATGAAGGCGGGGTCAAGGGTGAGCCATCCTGGGCTCTGCTGATGCAGAATGACTCTGCAATATCCCTTCCCCTCCCCCAGAGAGCCAGCTGCTGTTGCCACGCTCACAGGGGAGGCAGAGCTCGCATTTGCTGAGGACCTACTGGGTGCCAGGTGCTTTCTCAGGCATTAGCTCCTTTTTTTTTTTTTTTTTTTAGTACAAACACCCCTGTAGCAGCACATGGTGGGCCACTGCTGTGGGCATAGGTGCTTTATTGGAGAGGGGATGGAGGTGGGCAAGGGATGAGGAATTTTCCCATTCGGAGAAGATGGAACAGTCCTGACTACTCCTGATAGTGGGATGTACATGGTCTCTGGCCAGACCATGGTCCAAATGGGAAGACACTCGTCAGTCACAAAGTCATGGGAACACCACACAAGCCTGGGTGTATGCCCAGAAACTATAGGCATCTGGGGCGGGTCCCCTGCACATTCATCATGAGCTATACAGGATAAGGCTGTACATGAGTTAATTACAAAAAGTCATATTTACAAAAATCTATACACACATTTGAAAAACTCACAAAATTGTCATCTATGTATCACAAGTTGCTAGACCAAAATATTAAAAATGGGATAAAATTATACATTTCTTTTCTCAAATCTTTTCAAAAGGACTAATGTTTTTAAAGCACATATATGTTACTTCCTATTAATAGCAAGACCCATGAAGAAACCAAGCAGCTGAGCCTTCCTTGAGCCCCTAAGAAGACTTGAGACTTGAGTGGCCAGGCCAGAGGACACTGCCCAGAGTCAGGACAGGAAATTGGCCTGCAGTGCAGAACAATGCTGAACACAACAAAAGGAGGAACATGTCTTTGGCTAAAACTTTGGCATTAAATAAAAGAGGCAAACAGATGGAAACATACAGCCCTGCCAGCCAGGGTAGGCCAAACAGGGGCACAGGCAACCTTGAAGTGGACTCCAAGAGCAGTGGGAACCAGGCCTGGGCACATACCTGGGTGGCAGAAAGCTGTATTTCTACCAGTTGGGTGCTCCTTCTGGGCCTAGCAGGGAACATGTGCTCACAAGTAACAGGGATGGGCAAGTGGGCCACCTTGACCACAGCCAGTTCATCAAGTAAGTGAAGTGGATGTAGTGCAAATGTTGCAACCAAGTATTATGGACATGCTACCTGCCTGTCTTAAGGGTCAAGTGGCAATATGGAGCCAAAGGCAGGACCTTGTCCTTATCCTGGGTGCCTGTGTCCTCAGCCACAGGAAGAAACCCATTTTTCCCATGTATATAGGACAGGGTTTGATGTGTCCTGCCCCCTTAATTTGTTAGTTGAGAGCCTCTGTGTCCAAGTATCAAGTGAGGCTCAAAGTTTGTGCTTCTCTTTGCAGTCTGTGTTTCTTGCCAACAGCAGTAGTCTTTTAGGACGGATAGAAGAATATCTGGGTCCCTTGTCCCATGGCAGAGCACTCAGCCTGAGTTCCACCTCAGAACATCCTTCAGCCCTTCAACCCTGGCAAGGTGTCCAAGAAAACCCAAAGGGTAGCACAGAAACCCACTGAGTAGGATGCAATGCACAGTTCCATAAGTAGAGGGTTATGGATGGTGATGTCTCTAGGGGAGCTCTGCTGTTCTCAGGTGGGTACCAGGCCTAGGAGGGCCATACAGAGTCACTGAGGCAATGTGGTTGTTCTGCATGACTTCAAAGATCATTCGTTGGAGACCAAAGCAGAATGTGGAGCCAAATGGATTGGTGTTGTTTGGAGAGGAGGATCTGTGCAGGACAACAGGCTTCTCTACAGGGTGGCCTAGGAGCTCCTGGATATTGTCCCACTTGCTGTATGTTGTGCATATTTCTGTCTGACCAATTGCATTTTCTTTCTTTATGGCTAGTGGGATCTTGAACTCACAGCGATGATAAATGTTGAAATTATAATGCCCAGGGTAATTGGTGTGCAGGACAAACTTCTTCACTTTGTGTGTATTTGCGTCAAAGAGGATGTCCACCCCGAGAGTGAAGTAGTTAAAAAAGTAGTCATTGCACTTAGATGGAACTTGTTTATGAGGGGAAGGAGAATGAATTTTCATCTTGTCCTCTGACTTATAGAAGACTTTGTGTGGAGAGCCAAGCATGCTAAGAACATCTTGGCAGGAGTCACCAAAATACACTGAACGTTCAAATACCCGCATCTTGGCATCTGCTAAAAGGCCAGGTCCACAACCTGCAGCAAGTAGGCGAAGTCGTAAACCTGAGGGTCCTGTTCCATCTCGAAGAACATCTACATTCTCAGCATACACATTGCCCAAGAAACAGCTCAGGGGCATCACAGGAGCCTTGGTATCCTGTAGGCTGTTTCCACTGTAGATGAACATCCGTTTTACAGTTGCTCCATGGGGTATCTGGAGAGAAGCTAGACCGTGGGCAAAATTGGGCTCATACTTGGGAGCCTCAGTCCAGGAATCTAACTGGAAAGAGAAAGACAGTCCTCTGAAGTTGTGGTGGAAGAGCTGCTCAGCGGAGTTGTACACTCCAGGATGAGTTGCGCCAAAAGACTGGTCAATCTGCTCAATGGTAGGAGCTATGGCCTGACAGTTAAAATGCACTCTACAATATTTTAACTTTACTTTAGTCAAGTCATATACTTCAATCACCTTAAGTCTCTGATTGAAAGCATCAAACAGTAGTTTGATCCCGTCCTGAGTCAGGTTAAGGATGAGGTCATGGCTTAGAGGAGACTGCTCACTGTAGAGAACCTGGACATTTTTGATGATGCGACAGTGCTTCTGAAGAATGGCTACTGCTTGAGCCAGAGGCATTCCCAGCGTGAATTCCCATTGCTCGTTCCCCAGAGAGCGTTCAGGCACCACCTCCAGGTCCAGCATTGGTTCGGTTCGCCGGGCCCGGACGGCCTCCTGCGGCAGTGCAGACGGGACCCGACCTGCAGCAGCGGGGGCAGACACTGTGGCAGAAGCCGCATTAGCTCCTTTAATCTACTGGGGAGAGCACAGAGAGTTTAAGTAACTAGATCAGAGTTGCATGAGTTACCATAAACAAAGTTCCACACACTGGGTGACTTAAACAACAGGCATTTGTTACCTCACAGTTCTAAAGGCTGGAAGTTCAAGATTAAAGTGTTGGCAGGATTAGTTTCTTTTTCGTACTAGGTTTTGAACTCAGGGCCTTGCACTTGCTAGGCAGGTGGTCTACCACTTGAGCCAAACCTCCAGCCCTTTTTGCTTTAGTCATTTTTTAGGTAGGGACTTGCACTTTTTCCCCAGACTGACTTGGACTCGATCCTCCTACTCATGCCTCCTTCAATGCTAGGAATACAAATGTACATACCACAACACCTGGCTTGTTTGTTGAGATAAGATCTTACTAACTTTTTGTCTAGGCTGTCCACAAGAAGTGATCCTCCTTGTCTCCACTTCCTAAGTAGCTGGGATTACAGGTATGAACCGCCTGGCTGTGAGCTGGCTTCTCTCCCTGGCTCTATATTCACACAGCATTCTCTGTGTGTGTCCACATCCAAATTTCTGCTTCTTATGAACACTAGCCATATTGGGTCCATCCTATTGACCTGTTTTTAACTTACCTCTCTGAAGATCCAAGCTCCAAATATAGTCACATTCAGAGATACTGGAGGTTAGTATTTCAAGAAATGAATGGGTGGTGTGGAAGAGGAACAAGAATCCTGCCTATAACAATGAGTAAAGTGACAGAACCATACTTTGAACTTGGGTCTTTCTGGCTCGAATATCTGCCCTGTTTCTGTGATACCCCATTGCTCTCTCCCTGTCCCCTGACCCCAAACATTTCTCACTGGCCCATATACCATCTGAGTGACTTCTCCCTACCAGGTATTTTGCCTCTTGTTCCACATAACTCAATGGCCCAGACAGGTACACTGTGAAGAAACCGAAGCTCTGAAGAAGGAAGGGCCCAAGTACACATGGGGAGTCAGAGGCTGTTGCAGGGCATGAACTTGAATGTGGCTGACCTTTTCCCTCCACCACCCTGCTTCTCCTCCTATGATGACAGATACTTAAACAATCATATCAGCACAACAGGACTATGGCATGGCCAAATGGATGTTGATACACTGGGCTGGAGCAGAGGGCCACCAGGCACGAGCCATTTAATTGCTGGAAAGCCCAGGCAGAATGGGCGCCCCAGGGGAACTGACACCAGCCCCCCTCTTCTCCCATCAGCCACTGTTGAAAGCCAGGGTGAGCAGGTGGAAATGCAAACCCTGCCTGGAACTTTTCTGACCTCTGAGTTGCTTGACAAGGAATTTCCTTCCTTGGAAAAGAGCCACGTACTGTCTAAGGAGTTTATACTCAGAATGAGGGTCTGGGGCTGGAGAGAGACTAACCTCCTCACTGCCCAAGCTCCTGGCTGCCCATGTCTGTGCAATAAGCTGGGCCTGACCCACAGCAGGACCCTCAGGTCCCAGCCTTCCTTGACCACATCTGCCCAAGGGCCCTGACCTCAGTGCGATGACCCTCCCATATCCACCAATTGCCTCGCCCTAGGAGCAAGCAGTGATCGTTACTTGCGAGTTCAACAGCCTGTCCATTTGCTGATGTCCCCCGGAGATAAGGAAGGCCAGCCCAGGGCATGTTCCTTATCTGGAGTACCTCCAACCTGGAGAGCTCCTGACCTAACCTGGACTGGGCTGGGTGAAGCTGGCAGCATCCCTGGGTCCACCTGCCCCAGGACCAGGCCAGTTCACTATGCTGTGAGCCTCGCGTACTTGTTGACCCATCTGTGAGTGAGAGGCCAGGGGCCAGGCTACATAATTGGAGCACCCTTCTTCCTTAGCCTCCGCGTGAGTGAAGCTGCTAAAACCACGGACACTGGAGCCAGAGGACCTGAATTCCACTCTTAGCCACCACATCTACCAGCTCTGTGAATTGAGAAAATTATCTAATGTCACCATGCCTCAGTTTTCTTCTCTGTAATATAGCAGTGATGCTGGATGCCCATGGCTCGTGCCTATAATCCTAGCTACTCAGGAAGCAGAGATCAGGAGGATCATGGTTCAAAGCCAGCCCAGGCAAATAGTTTGTAAGACCCTATCTCAAAATAACCCATCACAGAAAAGGGCTGGCAGAGTGGCTCAAGGTATAAGCCACAAAATACCACAAAAACAGATAGATAGATAGATAGTTAGATGATAGATAGATAGATCGATAGATGATAGATAGATAAAATAAAAAGGGAGTGGTAACAGCAGTGCCCTCTACATGGAATTGGGACAACTAAGTGACTTAAGACCAGAATGTATCTCCCCCATTGTGAGCATCAGCTAAGTTGTTACCTACGTTTCATTTACTGGCACCACTGCTACAGGTGCCAACAGCACAAAAACTAACATCCCAGCCCACTGTGTGGCCTTGGATATCCAGTCCCCCATCTGAGCCCCCATCTGTAAAATGGGGACAAGAGTGCCACCTCCCAGGGTCACCATGCACATCAGATGGGGCCACAGCACGAACCCTGGGAAACGCTCTTAAGGTGTTCCACTCCCATGGCAATCGCCAGCAACGAAGACAAACACACATGGAAGACAGGTGTCCTTTCTTCTCCAGTGGCAGGGCCTGTCCTGAAGCTCCCAGAGTAGGGTTTAGAGCTGGATGGGGGAGGAGGGAGGACCCCACCGTCACTCACTGGCAGTTCACTGACCCTGGCTGCTCACTTGGCTGAAGCATTCCTCTTTGCGAAATCATTCCCTGAACAGAAGGCACAAAGCCAATGGCAGTGAACTTCCTTTACCCACCCAGCAGGGTTTCTGTCCTGCCGTGGCCTTGGGCATGCACCTTTATGTAACTGTGCCTCTGCCTGCCCTTTCACTCTTTTTTCTCTCCCCCATCCCTTCTCTGCTTCCTGCCTCCTCAGACATAGACCACCCCACTTCTTCCTCCCAGGCCCTGGTTTTAAAATGAGACCTTGACCTTCCAGTTCCAAGGTCTTTAACTGGAGATACCCATGGTTTCAACCATTGGGGCTACAGGGAAAGGGCATTCTGAGCAGTAGAAATAGCAGAGCAAGCTGAGAGAGTGGAGTGCCTTTCACACAGTAGGGGGACAATTGGCTGGGGCTAGGAGTGGGCAGATGAGCAAAGGAAAGTGATGTTGACCAGGCATGTGGAACGTCACTTGGTAGTCCTCAAAAACATGGAGGGCTTGAGGATGGCAAAGGCAAAGGCCTGATGGTCCGTGCACTCTCTGGGACCAGGGCCCACTTGAGGTGTCCAGGCCCAACACAGGGCGCATCGTGTGGGTCTCTCAGCACAGTCAGGGACACACAGGTGTAAATGTGGAAGGTTACTCAGGGGCTCTCAGGTCCAACAGCTTAAGGTGTAAAGCTCACAAACCATACAACCTTAGTCAAATCACTTCCCCATTCTAAGCCTCAGTTTCCCCAAGTCTATAAAATCAGTCAACTAATTGCGACTGCTTTGCTGTGAGTGCTCGCAGAGGCAACACCAGCAACTGTGACATTTTGCACAGTGCCTGACTCACAGCAGGAGCTCAGTAAACACAAGTGCCTTCCCTTGTCCCCCACTCATCACCCTCCAGTCGCAGCTCTGAGGACAGTTGTATGAACTGGGTCACCCCATTTTTCAACCAGGTTTACTGGATACCTGCCTCTATAATTTATATTGTAAGGGATTATTATTATTATTATTGGTAATAAACGCTGAGCAATTACTATGCGTTCAGAATTGCATGACTCACTTTCCACAGATGAGTCCATTGAGTCCCTCCCACGGCCTTGCTCGGCAGTAATTATCTTCATTTTATAGAAAATTGAAAAGTCATCTTTAAAAGGCTCCTTTAAAGTGGCAGAGCCAAGACCACCAAGCCTCTGTCTATATAGTTTAAGAATTAAGCACCTCCCCAGTTCCTAGACCCCACCATGCTTTTTACCCATCAGCCTCCTTGCACCATCCACTTCCCACAACATGGGGCAGATGACAGAGTAAGGGGGACAGAATAGCACAGCACCTCAGAATGAGCAGTTGGGGTTCACACCACAGCTCTTCCATTTGTGAGCTGAGGACTTTGGGGATTTAATAAGGAGCCTGACTAGGAGCCCAATGGGTGATCCTAGCTGGGCCTCTGCTGCAGCATGCTGTGTGACCCTGAACAGTCTCCTACCCTCTCTGAGCCTCAGTTTCCCCATCTGTAAAACTCAAGCTTCTGAGGCAGTTTGGCCTGTCTTGATTGCAGAGAATCCTTCCTGAAATTTTCTCCTTCTTGGCCCAAGCCCTCACTCTGAGTACTGACGCAAGCCAGGCCAGGGAAGAGGCTCTGTTCACAGACCCCCCAAGAAAATAGACCCCCCAAACACAGTCGTGTTGGGTTAAATAATTCAACCAAGGTCTTCCAATCAGAGCCCTAGAACAACTGTTTAGTTACAAAGAGACAAATGTCAGATATCACCCCACTGCAGCAAGGAGAGAAGATGTGACAGTCACATTGACCGTCTCAACTGATCGAAGTAGGCTCCAGAGTAGGCAGGCTTATCAGCACTTCAGAAAAAAACAAAACTGAAAGTCAGAGAGACACAGAGCTGAAAGTTCTGTCCCATGTTTCTGTACTCTACAAATCTAGTCACTGTATTTCCACAATCCCAGCATCCTACAGTTCTGATTCCATCCAGTAATCACCCAAACATCCAGTCACCATCCCCTCCTGACACTGTGATTCTGTCTATGAATTTAACATTTCTTAAGTCAAATGCTCGCCGAGTGTCTACTGTGTGCTAGGCCCTGAGCTCTGTGCTGGGTACAGAGCCACAGGCATAACTGAGTCCCAAGATTCACAGAGCTCAAGTCACTGTGGCAGAGAAAATGAGTGTGAGCCATTACTGAGATAAAATGTGGAGAGGACCATAATGGGAGACACGACCTGAAGAGTA